CCGGCCACTCCTCCCACCCTTGCCCCGAGTCCCAGCCTCCCGGAATTGCTTGCAGTTCTCCAAGGTGAGAGTCCTCTCTAGCTTCTGCAACACGGCCCCGGTCTCCTCCTTTCTTGGGAGGTGGCTTCATTCCCTTCCCTCACCTCCTAACCCCAAAGTGAGGGACCAAGTGCACCCCTGCCTTCTCAGGGCGCCCAGAGCCCTGCGCGGCTGTGCTGGCTGTGTGTTGCATCCCGCGTCAGCTCTTCAGGGCGGGGGCTGCGCCCTGCTCACTATTGTTCCCAGTTCCCAACATGGTCCCAGGCAATCCTGGTCGGAGCCCAGTTACCCTTTAAGGATGCACAATGATCAGCGGGGAGACTAAAAGTTAGGGTAGCCTTAGGGATCTACTGAGGGATTTATTTTGCATTGCTGTGTTTCTCAGCGTTGAATTCCTCCTCTCTTAACCGCAAGTTTCACCGTAAGAGTTAACGTTTTTAAAAAACGAGACAATAAATTTTACTTAAACCATTCTGATGGTTTTGTCACAATTAACTATAAATCTCTTTTAGCAGCGATAGTGTGTGCGGTTTGTGAAGTGAAATTCTGGAACAGTGGCTCGCTGTTCAATGCAAACAGGCAGAAATGTTCATTTTGAGCCCAGACTCTGAAACTTTAAAGCTGAGCTGAACCTAATGCCCCAATAATGACAGTGGAAGGAAAGACTATTATGATGAGAGATCTGCTCTTTGATTATTATTATTAAATTTAAGGACAGCAATTATCAACGCGTTAAGAAATTGTCCTGATACTGACCTAAAAAAAAATCCTGTAGTCTCAACATTTTTCTTTTGTTGACTAGATGTCACTGTAACAAATTGGAATTCTCATCTTCCTTGTGCTCACTCAGAGCTGGCGATGCCACATACGTGCATTTAGATCTGTGGTATTTCTAAACACCATCCTGCTACGCACTTTCAATAAAGTTAAACAAGAATTCATTGTTGAGAGATGTAATATTTAGGGGGGAGGATGAGGGAATAAATCTTAACTACTACAAAGTGTTTCCCTTCACCCTTAACTCTGAAGGAGATCCTTGTTGGTTTTGTCATTACTGTACAACCAGTCTGTTGACTTTGTTACACTTTGGTGGAAGGAAGTATAATTTAGTAAGAAATAAAATTTTTTTATAAGAAGAAAGTTTCTTTAGTAACATAAGGCAAAAATAAATGAGGTTATGTAAAGGTAAAAGCGAGTCATGTACTTAAAATATTTGAAGCGGAAGAAAAACATATGCTTGATAATTCTTTACCATTTCTGTAGAAAAGTATTCTCCCAGCATGTTTCATATCTGTTTACAGGACAAACCAAATGATTATTGCAACAATTGATAAGGAAAAAATAAATTCTGGAGAAAGGGCTTCTCTTGTGTATGTAGGCTTGAATAATTTCAAGTTTAGAAAACATTTTAGGCACTGATTTGGTACAAGTCCTATAGTACACTTTACTGACATTTTACCTGTGGTTTTCAGTTTGAAGCCTTTTTAAAAAAAAAAATCTTATTTCCAAACTTTATGGAGTGGTAAATGACGTTTTTTACTGTTGATAGTGAAACTTTTTAAAAATAGTTAATTTTAGGAGTGTATCTACAATGAAGTCCATTTCAGCCTTGTTTAACCATGGCAAACCTGATTAAGTGATCACTTGAAAGAAAAACACATTTAAAATGAGATCTAAGATTGCCATTTGCTACATTTGTTGGTTTTCACAGAGATTTCAAGGGAACTGAGCATTGAAAATAAACTGCCAGTCTAAAGGAGATTGTAGGTAGTGATGACCAGCACATAATACAGTGGGAAAAGGTTAGGATTTGGGATTAAAAGACTCACGTCCAAATCAGTTGGTTTTATGCCTTCTGCCAAGCTTTGTCTGAAAGTTAATTTCCACATTATAAATTAGCAACTATTTACTATCCCGACCGGCTCACACTGCTGAGGTGAGGATCAAGTGAGGATAGTATTTACCACCAACCTCAAAACACTGGACAAATAGTAATTAGCCTTACTGTTCTATACATTTGCCTTGGACTTGGAGACCTCTGATTTTCATAGAAATCACACACACACGCACACACACAGAGTAGGAAACAAAATCTAAGAGGGAAGTACAATTACGTTCTCATAAACTCCAGTAGGGATTGATGTATACTTGCATTTATTCATGGGTAATAGCTGATCGTAGAGGCAATTGGGGCACCCTGTATAAAAAACAGTCATTGTAGTAAGTGTGTTTGTTTTGAGAGAATGAGCGGGGGAGGGGCGGAGAGAAAAGAGAGAGAGAATCCTAAGCAGGTTCCCAGCTGTCAGCGCACAGTCAGAGGTCGGAGGTGGAGCTTGATCTCAGGAACCACCCCCTCCCCCCCCCCCCAAGAGCCTGACCTGAGCCAAGATCAAGAGTTGGACGCTTAAACGACAGCCACCCAGGCGCCTCCACTGTGGTAAGTTTAAGAGGATTCTGGTACAGTCTGGATATTGTTTGGCTCTACATATTATACAAGAGCAAGGGTGTGTGTGTGTGTGTGTGTGTGTGTGTGTGTGTGACTAATAAAAATGGATAGAGAAAAGTAAGGCGAATATTTAATGAAGTATATACCTCATTCAGTGCTCGCTGTCAAAGATGAAAAGAGGAAGGGGCACCTGGGTGGCTCAGTCAGTTAAGCATCCAACGTTGGCTCAGGTCATGCTCTCACAGTTCCTGGGTTCGAGTCCCGCATGGGGCTCTCTGCTGTCAGTGGGGAGCCCGCTCTGGATCCTCTGTCTCCCCCTCTTTCTGCCCCTCCCCCGCTCCTACACACGTACTCTCTCTCTCAAAAGTAAATAAGCATTTAAAAAAAAAGATTAACAGAGGAATATGTTCTTCAGTGACAGTATTTACTTACTGAGTCATGATAAATCTGAAGGATAAAGGAGCAGCAAAAGTCCTTCCCCTATCCCTATGCAAGTCTGAAATATTTGGCCAGTGGCTCATCATCCTCTCAGGTTTGACTGAGAACTTACTATGTGCAGGAGGCAACCGTGCACGCTGTATAGATGGCCAAATGAATACAACATGCATTTTCTCTTAAGAAAGCTAACATGGAGTTACGAGAAAGAAAAAAGAGGCAAAACCCTAATGCACCTGTGAGTGAGCCTCCATTCTTTCCATGGAAGGGGACCTGGGTGGGCACTTGCCCAGCCACTTCTCTCTGGAACCTTCTAACCTCACCAGCAAGCAGAGGAGGCGACTCCTGCCTGGATACAGCACTCTGTCTCTCCCGTTGTACCATTACAGTCCCATTTTCTTGACTCCTAAAATTTTTCAATGTTCTAAAGGTGCCCCTGAAAATAGAAATCTCCCTGGGAGGAGCATAGATGGCACTTTGGGGTGCGATCCAAAACAGCTTTGACAGTTTTGCCTGGGAACAGCCTCTCAGGCTCCATGTCTGTGCTGGTGTGGCCTTGAGCTTCGGGACTCCATCCTCTGTTCTCAGGCTGCCCGGACTAGTCATCTGCCCCACCTGTTTTCCTAGTCTCTCAAGGAATTTGGCCGAATTCAGGCCAGCTTGGGGGTCAACTCAGTACTAGAAGAAAAAGCAGTCTGAAGGTCAGAAGACTAAAGTTCTTTTTGACTTTGGGCCATTAAGACCTTCCATAGACTACAATTTCCACATTTTTTTTTAAATTTTTTTTTCAAGGTTTATTTATTTTTGGGACAGAGAGAGACAGAGCATGAACGGGGGAGGGGCAGAGAGAGAGGGAGACACAGAATCGGAAACAGGCTCCAGGCTCTGAGCCATCAGCCCAGAGCCTGACGCGGGGCTCGAACTCACGGACCGCGAGATCGTGACCTGGCTGAAGTCGGACGCTTAGCCGACTGCGCCACCCAGGCGCCCCTCCACATTTTATGTAAAAGGAGAGAGTGGATTACATTCCTAGTCTCCTCTGGTTTCTCCCTTTCCCTGCTAACTTCTCCCCCAATACTTTTTACTCAAAAGGTGAAACACCCCAAACGCCCATAGATGAATGGATAAACAACATGTGGCATATACATACAATGGGGTATTGCTCAGCCTTTAAAAGGAAGGGAGTTCTGACACATGTTGCAATACAGATGAGCCTT